GCTCCTCGCTCCGCCTCCGCCGGTCGTTGGGGTACGCGCGCGCCGCTGCGGCTTTTTCTCGGGCCTCTCCGGCGCGCCTCTGCTCGTCCCAGCGCTAGCGGACGCACGGCTCCTTTCCGCCAGTTTCTCGAAGGCCAGGCTCCCGCCAGCCGAGGACGCGGTGGGCAACGCCTCCGGTGAGTAACCCCCGCTGGCGAGGCTGTGGCCCCGGGGCCACTGCTGGTCCTATACCCGGCCCCAGTGNGCCACCGTCCCACGTCTCAGCCCGGAGGCGGTTGAGAGAACGTTCCGGTACCTGGAATCCGCTCGCTTTCTTCTTGAGCCCGAGCGATCTATCGGCCCGCCAACCCCGGGGCCAGGAAGACCCCCTAGATTTCTACATCTTCCCCTTTACTGAAGTCTGGGGCCCTTGAGACCCTGGGCTGCCTTTCTGCCGCTCACCGTTCCCGGAGAGCCAGAAGCATCTTGCTGATGGGGGTACTACCTTTTGCCGTGCTCGTTTCCAAAGGGGCATATCAAGAGCCTGCCAGGCTTCCCAACGACCTTTAGTGCGTCCCTCAACTCCATTTTGTCCCCTCTGGCTCGCTCTGTATCGGAGGGTAAGCAGGTTTATCTTACCCTAGACTGATCCACCCTTCTGATGTGAGGGATGCCCTAGCTTTCGCTATCCCCTTAGCTTCCGTATCTTTACGTATGTTAGAAAACAGCTGAATTTTAGCAGAAGCATGCTCTTATTTTTTCCTGTTCTTTCTGTCTATATCCCTGTCCTCAGTGGATGCTATATATTTAGTATTAGCTTTATTCACTTCCTCTTCCTCTTATTCCAGTGTACTACAGAAAGAACGGTGGCTGGTGTCTATAGCACATAGAAAAATCGAGGAGACTATGATTCATTGCCTAACCCCCATCAAGGGGTTACATATTTTAAATAAGACGTCATTTCTCATAGCATCTCCTCCTTCAAAGGCATTTTTTTCACCCTCTTGTAATGAATTTGCTCTATTCGCTATTTGACCTGAAAAAAAATCAATCATCACAGCGGTGAGATGCCGAATAAGGGCAACATGGCATTTAAATTAATCCCTTTACAAAAGTAAGCAGTCTGCTTTATGGTTTAGTCAACCATTTCCTGGTCATTGCTCACCACTTTAGTTTTTGTTTTATTTTGCTCCTAACAAATACTTAATTTTTTTTTTTTTTTTAATTTACTGATTTGAGAGAGAGAGAGAGAAACATCGATTTGTTGTTTTACTTATTTATGCACTCATTGCTTGATTCTTGTATGTGCCCTGACCCGGATTGAACCTGCAGCCTTGGTGTATCAGGATGACTCTCTAACCAACTGAGCTACCCAGACAGGGCTTAATTGTTCTTGATACATAAGACTGCATACAAATGGAGATTCAATCACATTGCTGTCCGTGAGCATACCAACCAAGATTTTAATAGTGAAGGTCTCTTCCTTGAATTGTAAAGTAGCTCGTGTTCTCCACTGAAGCTGGTAAAGTGTAAGATATGTAAGACTCCTGTAAGAATGAACAAGCTCTCTGCCACTGAGGTGGAGAATGAAACGTTAAACATGTTAGTATAGTATTTGCACCATAGAATAAAGTACCTTATTGTTCTGATCTGAGAAGTAATTTGACACCTAAAAGTCCACAGAGGATGTAATGCAACAATGAAAACCTTGAGTAAATTCAGCACCCACCCCCTTAAAAACCCTATTTAAAAAATAAGTGATTTAGCCCTGGGCTGGTAGCTCAGTTTGTTAGAGCATCATCCTGTTACACCAAGGTTGTAGGTTTGATCCCCAGTCAGGGTACATACAAGAATCAACCAAAGGCTGCATAAATAAGTGGAACAACAAATAGATGTCTCTCTCTCTCTCTCCCCCCTTCCTCCCTCTCTCCCTCTCTTTTCCCCCTCTCTCTAAAAATCAATAAAAAAGAAATGATTTATATTAAGATTTGTTTCTGTTCTTTTTAAAATTGAATTTATTGGGGTGACATTGATTAATAAAATTGTACAGGTTTCAGGTATACAATTCTACAATACATCATCTTTATATTGTATTGTGTGTTCACCACCCCAAGTCAAGTCTTCTTCCATCACCATTTATCCCCCCTTTGCACTGTTCTACCTCCCCCGACCCCTTCTTCCCTCTGGCAGTCACCATACTGTTTTCTGTGTCCATGGTCGGTTTTTTTTCTTTGCTTAATTCTTTTGGGTAAGGGTGGAGAAAGGAGAGTCTTGCCCAATTCCATCAGAAATGCATTGGGATGCTGGAGAGGCTCAGGTTCAGTTCCAGCTCTAGTTAATTTTT